TGGTGAGATCTTAAATTACGCCGCCTCCGGCTCGTAAGAAAAATCGCGCCGACGGAAACGAATTACCATATTTAATTATCTCTGTTTGCTCTGCGAGTAATTTAATCGACGTTTCCCACTCGTTAGTTGTGTTTGTTCTGCTGTGTGTGTGCAGTGTATGAAAATATTGAGTCTTCCTTGTCCTGGTTGCGCTGTATTGCGGTGTTAGATTCGACTGCAAACATGAAATCTTTTAATTGCAATCGTAACATTTACCTTTGCCCCTTCTCTGCACTACGTTTGCTTAAAAAAGAGTGTATTGTTGGTATTTGACCTTTAGCGACCTTCTCATTCACCCTTGTCCTTGTCCAGTACAGCATTGCTTTAATAGTGACCATATCATTGACCTTTGACCTTTGACCTCACTCAGTATTTGGATCGCTTCTAAACAGGCTGTCGAAACGGAGGTGAACATGTACTGCGTCGGATACAAGTCACATGACCAGCTGCTGGCCAATCAGCTGCAGATGCTGTTGCTATGCTTCGACGTTTACCTGGAGACGGCGTCTGCCGGGGTCGAGAACAGCGGACCGACGGAGATCTCGAAGGAGAAGATCTTCCTTCGCGTGTTCCGGTGAGTCGTTCGTTCCGAAATTTTACGCTCGGTCGTTCGTCGTCATCTCGGCACCATTTTCTCCAATTTTGCCAAAAAAATTCTCATAGAAGTAGTTGGCGATAAGAGTTAAAAAGATGCCCCGTGGAGTCAGTTATTTTAAGAAAGGTGGGCATATGTATTGTGGAGCCAGTAAATTGCACTTCACGGGCGAATTTCACCAGCGATCGATGGCAGCTGAGGTGGGAACCGTGATGGAATACGTTGTAGTACACGACTACACGTATGCTCCAGTCCAGTCATTTCATTTTCGTCAGGGAATGTTTGCAGCAGATGCGTCCGCGCCATTGTCGTCGAAATTGAGCCGTAGTGAAGCTAAGGAATTCGGTTGATAAGCGTCTTGTATTTTCTACTTTATATAGGAAAAATTTAGTTGCTAAATGCCTTGTTTTCTTCTTTATACAGGGGCCGGAGTCGTAGCAAGCCCTTCAAGTACAACCCGTCACTCGAGCTTTATTTCCACCGCTAGATGGCGCCGCCGGGAAACACGTGGCGACCTCTAACACCTCACCGTCACCACCGACCTCCCTGGAGTGTCAGTGTACACCACCAGGTGGCGTTAATATCGCAGCACTGTCGAGTGGAGGCGGTGACAGCGTTCACACCTCGCTAACGACCGGCCGTCATTAATTGTTATCGGATCCGTCTCCGAAATGTGCTAACGCGTGACTCGAGCGTAATCGGGGGAGCGTGAATTTAAAAACAGAAACAGGTAGGCAGGCGTGGGGGATGGGCGCGTTGTTTGTCGCTGCTGCCGCCGTCGGCAGCGGCAACGCGTTGGAACGTGTCCAATAGAGCCGCCTGCCTTTCGTCTGACTCGCGTCTCGCGTTCGACGCAGAGGTGAGGGAGTCGTTAGTCCGTCACCAGCTGTCGCCGCCACTAATTAACTTAATTAATTCCCATCGGGGAGGGGGAGGGGCAAGGAAACGCTGCAAGGTCGTAAGAGCGAGGCGATTGCACCAGAGGCGCAGATGTAAACTGGAGTGGTGCGTCATCGCACGTAGCTCCACTTAGTGGGTGTACTTGGTATTAAAATCGACACTTATTCACGTGATTATTTGGCTTCTGCGCGTATCAATCGTTCGCTGCATTTATTATTAGCTGAGGAGTAAGACGATGAGAAGAAAGTGGCGGAATTCTGAGCGTATTGTGACGTAGCCGTGACGTAATACCGAATCGGTAACGTCGCCTAAATTTCGTCAGTCGGAATCCAGAGTTTCCCCCCCCCTCGTGGTAATTGTGAGAGTACTGCAAGTTCAGGTAGAAATGTTGCTAACGTGACTCGGCAGGTGAGAGTGAGAAATCATGGCCCTGAGAGCAAGATTATAATAGTATACTAGTAAGGGCCCACAACTGGGGTTTCATTGCAGGCAAGTGTGGGTCCGTAGGAGCCAGCACCAGCTATATTACATTTTCTCGGTACAGCACTCTATTAGCATTAATGTTTGTTCACCGTTTCCTTTTCTCTGAATCTTAATTCTTTCGCTCGGGTGGCATTCCGCCAGGCTGCATTTTGATAATTAACCCCGGTTTCCGTCTCTTTATGAGAGATAGCTTGATCATGCAACATACCCATACCTCGATTGGTCCGGTGTGGGACTCCAAAACTTTTGTAGAAGCTAGTGCGTGGGCATTAAAGTCATGAATACTGCTATGCCATATTGGTAACCTGATTACGTGGTCAACCAGAGAGAGGGTCAGTTGTAAAGTGCTATAAACTCAAGGATATCTCTGCTTGGAGAAGCAATTCTTGTAAATTTAGCGTTTTAATAAACGCAGGAAACACCTGTAATAAAATAGTTTACATCATTTTATTGCATTTCATTCGTTACGTTGATGTTTAGTGGCAGTAACTAATATGGTTTGTTGTAAAACTAAAATCTAGAGTTTATTGAGGAATAATTGGCTATGTATTATAAGCCACCTTCTCTATGCTTTTATAGTAGTAATGATATATGATTTCATTTAAAAGCTGTCAGAGTTACATCGATTACATCACACTAGCGTGACGAATAACCAACCTCCATAGAATACGATTAGACGTGCGTGCGTGCGTGTGTGCGTGCGTACGTGAGTGCGTGCTTCTGTCTGTTTCTATAAGGAAAACGGGGAAAACAGAGATGACGTGAGTAGATCGTGGTACCACGCCCGTACAGCACGTACGTGCGTGCGTGCGTGTGCGTCCGTGCGTACGTGAGTGCGTGCGTGCGTGCGTGTGCGTGCGTGCGTGCGCGTGCGTGTGTCTAGTACCATAAGGAAAACGTTAGTGTTACATGACGTAAGTAGATCATGTGACCGCGCCCGTACAGCGCGTGCGAACGCACCGCGGATGTCGGCTGCTCCAGGGTGACGTCATTTCCGGGAAATCTCCCCACAGGTAGAGAGAGAGAGACACAGATAGAAAAGGGCGTCTGTACCAAAACGTGCGTGTAACGTTCAACGTTTCTCTCTCGCCTGTGATTGTATTTAGTGTTACATGTGTTTATCCAGATACGCACACACCTTGACAGATATATCCACGTGTATTGATTGATTAACACTGTGTTCGTACGTGTGTGCGTGTGTGCGTGCGTGCGTGTGTGCGTGTGCGTGCGTGCGTGCGTTCTCTCTGTGTGTCGCCATGAGTGACTTGGAGGCAAGGACGCAGCCGCTGTGGCACGCCATTCACAGTCTAGATCCCAAAGCCGTTGCAACCCCAGAGACTCGTTTAACTGTACTGGTACGCCTACAATGCTTTCTCCTGTCCGCTCGCTCTCTCTCTCTCCTCTCCCCCCTCACACACACTCGCACACACACTCTTCTCACATCCATCTCTCTTCTCTCTCTTCTCTTTCTCTTCACTATTCTCTATCTCCTTCTCTTTCTTCTTTTCCTCTCTCTCCCCTTCTCTCTTCTCTCTCACTCTCACTTCTTCTCTCCCCTTCTCTCTTCTCCCTCGCTCTCTTTCTCACTACCTCTCCTCTCCTCTCTCCACTCTCTTCTCACCACTCGCTCCGCTCTCTCTCTCTCTCTCTCTCTCTCTTCGCGCTCTGCTCATCTCTCTCTCCTCTCTCTCTCTGCTCATTCTTCTCTCTCTCTCTCTCTCTCGCTTTCCTCCCTACGCTCTCTCTCGCCTCTCTCTTTACCTCTCTCGTTTTCTCCATCACGCTCTCTCCCGCCATCTCTTCCTCTATCTCCATCTTCCCCTTTTTTCTCGCTCTCTCTCTCCCTCTCTTTCTCATGATCTCTAGGCATCGGAAAGATTTTAGCATTCTGCCAGTATGCAGTCAGTGTGACCTGATGATCTAGGTGTCGGGAGCGCACATGTGCTCGGTATTACTTGACATAAAAGAAAAGAACCAAGGCAGCAGCAGCAGCTGCCGCAAGCATAATCTCATCATGTACGTGTTAAAACAATTAACAAGATTCGTTAGCTACCCTCCGACTCCGACTGCGATGATTACGAGATGGTTATGTAATGATGTGACATTATGTATCGCGCTATCAAATGGTTAAATAGCAGGCGTGCTGTGCGTGGCTGTGGAATGCATGGTCATACATGTAAAGCTAACGTCACAACATCGCCATTTAACTTACTCGGGCTCTATAGCGTATAATGCAGATATAAGCACTGGGAAAATAGTTTAATGAGGGCATCAATACGTGAGGCGAAGGCTCTGCTCTCTGGCCACGATAAACACGCACGCACGCACGCACGCCACGCACGCACACTACAGCACGACACACACAACACACACACACACACACACAGCGAGCAGCCAGTCGACATACAACCCACGCACCGGCACCCACCACACCACACGACACACTACACACACTACACCACACATCACTACACAACAACACAACCATCACCGGGATCCACACACACCACACCTCGCACACAAGCGGTATCATCGTAATATAGAGAGGACATGACTACACAGATTGCGTGGGCACCTAGCTTTGCGTAGATCACTACCAGCGGCTGAGACGCGGATCGAACGCGCAGTCCGCACGATACCTGCGCACTGCGACCAGCGGGGTCGTATCAAGTATAGAAGCGCTGTCCGCAGGGGGACGTGCGCCCAAATTCGAGGGCCGCGGCGCACGTCTCCACAGCGTCAGCGAAGGGTCGTGTCAGTTTTAGAAGATGACAATGAGTAAAATACTGGACGATATTCTCAAGAATGTGGAGATTATGAACAGCTAAGCAAAGATCGCTCAGTTATGGCTCCAGTAATTAGCTGAATACAAAAAGATTAGAAGTTAATTTGAAACAAAACAAATACATGGTACCAAAAATTCACACCAACAAAAGAAATGATAAGACGAAGGAGATATTATAGGCAACCAAGTAATCACAAAATGCACCTACAAATAAATTCATACGCTAGGGGATTTAATAATGATATAGGAAGGTTATAAACGATATGCAAAAAAGTCCGAACAAAAAATGCTAGTTCATGAGCATGCGAAATATTATCAATGCGGCAGAAGAGCAAAATTATGGGAAATCAATACTTCATAGTACAGTCTCAAACAGATGAAATTATAACCGAATGGACCACAGTTGTACACTTATCCTTCCTAAAATAACAGATGGCCTCTTATCGACACACCATAGATAAGATAGATAGATAGTATAAAGTATAAAGTATATAATAGTATAACGATATGTATATACAAAGTGCCTTATAGGTTTATCTATGCTAGTAACCAAACCATTAGCGTGAATGTTGCTTGCTCCCCCGCAGACGCTCGTTGCCGCTCTGGCGCGGACAGGCGCTGGACAGAGCCTTCAAACTCCCACTCCCGCATCGTTGGACACGTTCCAGCCGGACAAGACCAACCTGGACTTCCCCGCCGTCGCCGAGTACGTCGGCAGATGTCTGCTTAGCTGTGTCGACGTTACGACGAGCAGCGTCGCACAGGTGAGAGCGCCATCTATAAACAATGTGTCCGTCTACAGTTAAACCTGTGTTGCCTTGAACACCTCTATAGAAACGGACGTTGACGGTCACTTTTTTGTGTTTTCCTTTGAAGTAAAAGTAAACTAAAGTAAGTAAGCAAGCTAGCAAGCAAATAAGTAAGCAAGTAAGTAAGTTAGCAAGCAAGAAACTAAGTAAATAAATAAATAAACAAATAAATACAGTACCACGTTGCAACTCATGTTTGTATAATTGTAGTACTAGTCTAATGTAGGTCTATCTATGCTATTACTCCCTTCGTAGACACATCGACGCGGACACAACATTGTGTCTCTCGTAGCTGAGGCTTGCTCTATAAACGTAATGCAACACTTCATGCCTATATTTCCTATTTTGTACATCACCCATATATACATGTATAATTCAAGTATATAACTAAACCTTTACTTAATTATAAAAAAAATTTAAAATCAAATTTTAACGCCCTTTCCCACATATCTGAATTTGTTAATATTATAGTCATATATATACTATATTATCCTACACATACTATATCAATATAATATATCTATCAGCAGGATGAATCAGCTATGATAGACGAGGTGTGCCTGGACCAACGTGTAAAGTAGCGTCTATCGCAATGGGCAGCGTAAGCAACGAATACTCCTCGAGCGACGACGTCTTTAGACACTGTTCTGCGTCTTCACACACAGTTGGCAGAGCACCCAGCGCAGGACGACGGTAGGCGCAGTCATGTCAAATGCGTGCAAGGGCGAACGTGGAAAACGTTTGCAAGGAATTTGGCCCGGCGCCTTAGGTTAAGTATACGTCGGACCAACACGTCCTTTAGGTTCGTATAGTGCCCCAACAGCCCTAAGGTAGTATCACGTGACCACGAGCCCTAAGTGATAGTATGAGTGACCAACAGCCCTTAGCTTAGCAAGGTGACCGACAGCCCTAGTGTTAGTGTGATGCCACCATATACACGGTGAACATGGTGACTGCACACACTAGTTTATATGAGTGACCACACACCTCGTTTGATAGACGTAGCCACAGCACTAGTTTATAGAGTGACACCACACACTCGAGTGTGTATAGTTACGTCATCACCCCCACCTATACTATTGTCAGAGAATCAGCCCGCGCCTCCGTAAGCCAGTACACGTAGCACATTCAGATGTGGCAGCCAGCTACACCCTGCATCACCGTACGCACCACCCCCCCACCCCATCACCACACACCGGTCGCCGCACAACAACACACACACCCACGAGCACACACAGCTACCCACTGACTCCAGCACACACACACGCACTGCCACCCACACACACACACACCACACAACGCACGCACGGCCCAACACACATAACCACGCACGCACGCACGCACACACACCAGGTACACACACACACACACACACCCATCCCCCACCACACACACCCACACACCCACCCCACCCCACCCCACCCCACCCCTATCTCACGGTCACCTTACATTCTTCCTGCGCCATCATCTAGGGAAGCTGTGGGTCGCTGAAGCCTTCCAGGATCAGTGCACATCGCTGTACGTGTTGTTCGAGGAGATGCTAGAGTTGTTAGAGAGACACTACACACGCGCCGTGGGGCGGGCCGCCATCAGCGAGGCCGTCAGAGAACTCTACGATATATTCGTCAACGGAGTCATCAAGAAGGTAGAGTCGCAGTGTGGCGCGAGGATATAAATATAATATAAGAGATAATAAATCTTTCGCGAGTTTATTATGTGCTGTTTGTTTTTCTATGTCTCTCTATTTTCCTCCCCGTGTATCTCTCTTCTTTCTTTTTCTCTACATCTCTATTACTCTGTGCATCCCATTTCTTTTTCTCTACCTCTCCATTCCTCCCATCTTTTTCTCTCTCTCTCTCTNTTCTTTAGACTGTTCCTGCGTCGGTCAGCACGCAGTGGCCAGAGCTACGCACGCAGCGACGCGGAGGCGCAGTCTAGTGTCCAAATGCGATGAAGGGCCGAAGTGTCGAAAACGTGCTGCAAGGAATTGCCGGCGGCGATTAGGTTAGATATAGTTGACCACAGCCTTAGGTTGTAGTAGTGACCACAGGCCTCTAGCGTTAGTAGAGCTGACCACAGCCCTGTAGTATAGCTGACAGCAGCCCTAGGTTTAGCATAGGTGCACCACAGCCTGGTTAGTGTGATGACCATTACAAGGTTAAACGATGGTGCCACACACTAGTTTATTAGAGTGACCACACACTCGTTTGATAGAGTGACCCACACACTAGTTTAATAGAGTGACCACACACTGAGTGTGTATAGTTTACCGACACCTCTATACTACTGTCAGAGAATCCAGGCGCTTCCTAAGCCAGTACAAGTAGCCATCAGTGTGGGCAGCCAGCTACACCCTGCGTCACCACGACCACCCCCACCCACACACACCACACCGCACACACAGCACACACAGCACTCAGAACCACACACACCACCCACACTCACACACACACGCACCGCACCCACAACACACACACACACACACGCACGCACGCCACAACACACCACGCACGCACGTCACCGCACACACACGACACACCACACAACACACCACACACTCGCACACAACGTCCCAGTCCCCCCCCCCCCACACGACACCACACACCACCCACACCCCACGCCGACCTCACGCGTCAGCCCTTACATCCTTCCTGCCTCATCAATCTGAGGAAGCTAGTGGTCTCGCTGAAGCCATCCAGGGATCAGTGCACACTCGCTGTACGTGCTGTTGGAGGAAGATGGCGTAGAGTTTGTTAGAGAGACACTACACACGCGCGTGGACGGGGCCGCCCATAGCGAGGCCGTTAGAGAACTCTACGATAATATTTGTCAACGGCAGTCATCAAGAAGTAGTGTTGCAGTGTGGCGCGAGGAGTATAAATCTATTTAAGCAGATAATTAAGGACTTATTTCAGCGAGTTCTATTTATGTGCTGGTTTCGTTTTTGCTATGTCTTCTCTAGTTTCCGTCCCCGTGTATCTCATCTCTTTCGCTATTTCGCGCCGAACCTCTCACATTCCTCGCCTGCTCTCTTCTCTCCTGCTCTGCTCGCTCTCTCTCTCGTCTCTCTCTCTCGCTGCTCTCTCTCTCGGCGCGTCTCTCGCTCTTCCCTCGTACTCTCTCTCTCGCTCTCTCTTTCTCTCTAGTCCGCTCTCTCTCTCTCTCTCTATTTCTCTCTCCTCTCTCCTATTTCCCCCTTCGTGCAATGCCTCACCTCTTTCTGGTTACCTACCGGCCCTCTTTATGGCCATACCGCTTACCTCAAATGATCCAATCCATTCTCCCTCTCTATTCCCCCGCTATCCCTCTCTTCTTTATCGCTCTCGATGCTCCTGCATTTGCATTTCCGTTGCGGACGTCCGATTTCAGGGCATATTGAGGAAGAAGGGAGACCGCGTGAAGACGTGGAAGGAACGATGGTTCGTGTTGAATGCGGATCAGATGGTGTACTACACTGGACGTGACGAGAAGGAGAGGAAAGGTGCCATCGCTCTGTCCACGCAATCCGTCGTACAGGTAGGAAGGGTACAAACAGATGTAGAAGATAAAGAAAGACAGAATTGGAAACATTAGATGATATATAAAGAAATATCGCATGAAATGAATACATGCACACGCACGCACGCACGCACGCGCGCGCGCAACACACACACACACACACACACACACACACAGGGCACAGTACACGGCGCACGCACACAACACGCACACACACACACACACACACACACCACACACACACAAGAGACGCACACACACAGCAACACAACACACACACACACACACACACACACACACACACACCACAACACACACGCACAACACGCGCGCACGACCACACACACACACACACACAGCACACCACACACACAGCTACACACACACACGCACGCACGCACACACACAGCCACACACCACACAGCACACACACACACACACCACAGCACACAGCACACTTATTTATACAGTTTTTGTTATTTCAGATGACTCCGGACAGAAAGACGAATTATCCGAACAGGTTCACGGTCATGTCACGGCGTGGTGACCGTATCTTCGATATTAGCGCCATTGATAACCGCACACTTGCGGGACAAGAATGGGTTACAGGTATGTGTGCGGTGGGCCGTGCGGTGCGTGCCGGCTGTGCGGCTGTCACCGGGACGTCGATGCGTCGTGGTCGGTCGGCTCCGCGTGCCCGTCAATCCGTGCTGTTCACGACATCCTGTGCAACGACTGTTGGCGTTAATGCCAATGATATCTAATAATAATTATAATGCTTATCTACATCATACGTTAAGCTATGCGCCACGCTATTGTCTCTCGTCTGCAACAACGCTGACGTCATAAATAATATAACATTCATCATATAACGGATAAATGCATTAATACAGGTTCCGCGGCGGTGGTGGTGGCGGCGGAGAGGGGGTGGGCGTTTCTTAGGGGGTGGGGATGATTTCGCTACGCGATTGCTAGAGCCATCTATTATCTCCGATTTCGGATCGAAAATCTCTGCGTCTTGATTAGCTGTCGTCAGCCCTCCCCACCATCTTTTTTTTTTCTCGTAATCAGTTTTAATATTTGATGCATACTCGGTCTGCGTAAAGGCTGCACTCCTCATTACCTGAACCTTGGACGCCAAGGTCGATTAGCTCAGAATTACTTATTCCGCATGGATTCTGTATGCTGTGCTATGGTGTTGTGTGTGTGGCTGTGTGTGCTGTGTGTGTGTGTGTGCGTGCGTGCGTGTGCGTGCGTTGCGTTGCAGCTGCGTGCGTGCTGCGTACTGTGTGTGATGTGTGTGGGTGTGTGTGTTGTTGTGTGGGTGAATGTGCCTGTATGTGTGTGCTGTTTTGTGGCTGTGTGTGTGTGTGTGGTGTGTGTATGTAGTGTTGTGTGTGTGTGTATGTGTGCGATCGGGCAGCAGCATGTGTGTGTGTGTGTATGCGTGTGCGTGTCCGTATGTGATGTGTGTGTGTGCGTGCGTGCGCTGCTGTGCGTGCGTGACCGTGCGTTACGTTGTGCGTGCGTACGTTGTGGCGTGCGCGTACGTGTGCCGTGCGGTACGTCGTGGTGCGCGTACGTGCTGCCGTGCTGTATGGCGTACTTGCGCTTTTCTGGCGTGTGAAAGCGGCCTTTTACGTGAAAGTTTTGTCACTGTCCACAAATTTTATTACGGATTTCTATAACTGTTCTCCTATCGTCCGTTATTTCCCGTCCCGCCAGCGTACGTAATTTTTATCACGTAATTTCAAGATGCCGGCATCATTTTTCGAAGATGAATTTCCCAAGCATCATTGAATTTCCAGATAACTTTTTGTCGCGTTAATTTCAAAATCATGTAAGCAAAAGAATGCCTCGTAGAACTCTTCAACCTCTAAAGGCGGCTTATGTCGGGCTTGCGAGCGACTCGACTGGATAAGTAAACTGGCTGCGACTGCCCAGTGCTTAGGTCAGCGTCGACTGCAGACGCGACTGCCTGCGACTGGCGCCAACTAGTTGCTCGCGAATTTCAAGAACAGTGGGCAACTTGGACGCAACTAAGTCTGCTGCCGTCGCTCCCAGTTGCATCGAAATCAAGTTGCGTTCGGTCGGACGTCGGCCCTCGCAAGCCCGACATAAGCCGCTTATAGTCCTATCCTCCCCGTGTAGTCGTTCAGATTGGCGCCATTCAACAGTTCCGCGGGAGGTCCAGGAGCGAAGCGAGTTACCAGAGGATCGCGCTCGCTGGAGAGGAACGGCGGCGCGGGGACATGTTGAAGAGGGCCAGGAGCAGGCGGGAAACCAGCTGCGCAGTCGACCAGCGGCAGACTGGAAGAGCAGCAAGCGCAATGAGAGACTCCCACGGAGAAACAGGTGAGAGTGTTAGTGCAGTGTTGCTGCTGCTGCTGCATGCTGTGATGATCGCATGAATGATTGATGACGATGTGCGTGCATGATTGATAGTTGTGGATGATGATGATGATGATGATGCATGATAAATGATGAAGATGATGATGGTGATAACTGCTGATTGGTGGTGCCCGCCGCGCCTCTGCCTTGCTGCTGCCTGACTGCTAGCTACTGCTGCCTACTGGACTGCTGCCTGCTGCTGCTTGCCATGATTGCTGCTCCTCACTGCTACTGCATGGCTTCTGCGTGCTGGGCTGCTGAATGCTGGTACTGCTGCTGCCTGCTGCCTGCTGCTGCTAGTGCTCGCTAGTGCTGGTACTGCTGCTCGCTTACTGCCGGTACGCCCGGCTGCTGCTGCTGTATGCATGCTGCTGCCGCTCGCTGCTGCTGCTGCTGGGGTGGTGCACTGCGCTGCTACTGCTGTGATAACCTAATACTTGTGTTGAATCGGAGATCCTGATTCCTGCGACTCACACAATCGAGCTAATGACCAGACACGACCACTCAATAAAGACACGACTCATCCATACAGACATGCGTGATTCCGTGCACTCGATTGACCATTTCTCTAGGCGCGCTACGACGCACTGTGTTGATATTTTTTGTTGTTAATAATGAAATGACAGCCCGAAGCTGTGTAGAACATCGCACGCAGATAGATCGCCTGTCTAGCTTCTACTACAAATTTGTATTCTACACTTCTCGAAGATGATGGGATAAATATTGACTGTGGCCTTCTACTGGCGATTAACAACACTCCTGCGTTTTGCGTGCGTACGTGCAGTGCGGGCTGTGTGCGTGCGTGGCGTGCGTGCGTCGGCGGGCGTCCGGGGGTGCGTCGCGTTGGTGCGCGTGTTTGAGCCAATGACCTACAATGTGATAACGACGCTGTGTGAGCGGGTTGAAGACGCGGTGCGTGCGTGCGGTCGTGTGTGCGTGCGTGGACCGTGCGCGCTGCGTGACGTGGCTGCGTTGCGCGTGCGGTCGGTGCGCGTGCCCGTGCGTGGTGCGTGGGCTTGTGTGTGTGCGGTGCATGCGTGGTGCGCTGTGCTGTGTATGTCGTGTGTGGTGCGTGCGGTGCGGCTTGTCGGGGTGTGTGTGGTATGTGGCGTGCGTGCGTGCGTGCCGCCGTGTATGTGGGCGGCCTGCTCCGTGTGTGCGTGTGCTGTGTGTGGCGTGCGGCGCGACGTTGCGTGTCGTGTGTGTGCGGTGCCGTGCGGTGCGTGTCGTGCCCGGTGCTCGTCGGGTGTGTGTTTGGTGTGTGTGGCGTTGTGTGGGCAGTGCCCGTGCGGGCATGTTGGCGTGTGAGTGCGCTGCTGACGTGTGCTGCGTGCGTTGCTACCCGCAGTCTCATCGCGTGTCTGTGCGCCGTGCGTGCCGTACGTACTTGGCTTGCGTGCGTGCTGTGCAGTAGCCAATGCCTATATGCAGATGATTTCTCGCCGCAGAGAAACCAGGGAACTGGCGAGAGAGAACGGCGCGAGGCAGGACTGCCGCCAAGAGTGGAGCGACCGTTCCCAGCACGCACGCACCGCCACCCGCAGGACCGCCGCGAGCCCGCGCCCCTCAGCCCCTCGACCCTCTAAGCAAGATGCATCCTGACGCGTCAGCAGCACGTAGGAAGGCTGAGAGGCACACGCCGTCCGGTGTCGACGTCCGACGACGACGACCCGATCGAACCACGTCTGTTGGTTCATGTCCCTCTACATAGACCATACTAGTCGGTGTTGCACCTCAGTCTAGTCAGCCAGTCAGTAATTCGAGATCAATCATGATCAGTCATTCGCGCCGTCGGTTGGGTCGGTCAGGTCGCGTCGTTCGGTCGGTCCGGGCGGCGCCGTCAGGGCCGTGTCGCGTCGTTCGGTCGCGTCGCCGGCGGCGCCGTTCGCAGCCGGTCCGGTCGGTCGCTCGGCGGCTGTCGGGTCGGTCGGCGGCTGTCGCAGCTCGGCGTCGCGTCAGTTCCGGGTCATTCGGTGCTCTGTCGGGCATCGGTAGTTGTTTGCTGCTTTCGGGGGCTATAGTCGTAGATCAGGCAGGCTCGCGTACGATGGGCATGGCTCGGCCGAGCGGGCCTGGGGTCGCCTCGGCTGTGGTTGTAGGCGGCGTTGGGAAGCCGAGGAGCCAGACGCAGACATCATGCAGAAGGTAGGCCGAGCTAAGCGACTCACGAGACGCAGGCAGCAGAGCGCATACAGGGGGGGAGCTGGAGCAGCATGTGGCCTGGTGAAGACAGGCAACGCGGGATGAAGAAGCTACGCGCGTGGCGCGCTCTGCAGCTAAAAGGTAGCTCTCTCCTCTCTCTCTCTCTTCCTCTCGCTCTCTCTCTTCTTTCTCTCTCTCTCTCGCTCTCTGCTCTCCTCTCTCTCTCTCTCTCTCCTCCTTCCTCTCTCTCTCTCTCCTCTCTCTCTCTCTTTCGCTCGTCTCTCGTCTCTTCTCTCTCTACTCATCTCTCTCTCGGGCTCTCTATCTATCTCTCTTTCTCTCTCGCTCTCCCTTTCTCGTCTCTCTCTCTCTCTCTCCTCTCTCTCTCTCTCCTCTCTCTCTATCTCTCTCGCTCTCGCCTCTCCTCTCTCTCTCTCTCTCTTTCTTTCTTCTTTCTTTGCTGTCTCTCGCTCTCTCTCTCTCTCTCTTTCTTTCTTGTCTTCTCTCTCTCTCTCCTCTCTCTCCATCTCTCTCTCTCTTACCTCTGTACTGTCTCTGTCTCTCTTTCTTTGTCGTCTCGCGTCTCTCTTCTTCTCGCTTTCTCTCTTTCTTTTCTTTGTCATGTCTCTCTCTCTCGCTCTCTCTCTTCTCTCTTCTCTCTCTCTTTCTTTGTCGGTCTCTGTCTCTCTTTTTTGTCTGCTATGTCTCTTTTCTTTGTCTGTCTCTGTCTCGCCTCTCCTCTCTTTCTCTTGCTCTTTCGTCTGTGCTCTCGTTCTCCCCCGCTTTCGCTCTCTCTCCCCACCCCTCTCTCTCTCTCTCTCTCTCTTTCTTTCTTTCTCTCCCTTCGTCTGCGGCTCTGTCTCCTTCGTCCTCTTGTCTCTCGTTGCTTCTTACTCTGCTTTCGCTCTTTCTCTCTCTCTCATCGCGCTCCTCTCTACTCTACATCTACCTACTTTCATCTCTACGTCGGATCATCAATAATATCCTCCTTATCTCTAATCTGCATTACGTTCCTATTATTATCCCCCATCTCTTCTCTGGAGGAAGCCTCCACTCAGCCATGCAAGTTCATTAGAAACGTTATTCCCGTGATACTGTATTTCCTCGACTATTTGACATCGATTTTAGTTACAATAATTGTAATTCAACGACTTAAGATACCTAACCAAGCACGCACCAACCGAGCACGCGGATAGAGAGGCTCTGCACTATACATGTTCCTCTTGACTTGTCGTTATCTCTGTCGTACTGTCGCTGCAGATTGCTGGAAGAGGAAGCTGAGAAGGCGAGAGAACTGGAGAGGCTCAGCAAGGAACAGGAAGGTCTGCTTCACGACGAGAGAAGGAAGCGGGAGGAGGTCGAGACCGAGCAGCAGAATGTCTCCCGGTACGAACACCTCTTAGGGTGGATAGAGAAAAGTGAGATACATAGAGGAGAAGGAGGGGCGATGGAGAGAAGAGAGAGAGAGAGAATGGCGAAGGAGGGGCGATGGAAAGAGAAGGGGAGATAAGAGAAGAGAGAGGGATCAAGAGACAGGAGAGGTAGAGCGAGAAAGAGAGGAGAGATGAGAGAGAGAGGGTAGGAAGAGAGAGAGAAGGAGAAGATAAGAGTCGTGTGTGTGGTTTGTGTGTGTGTGTTGCGTGCGTGCGTACGTGCTGTAGCGTGGTGCGTGCGTGCGTGGACGTGCGTATGTGTGCGTTGCGTGCTTGCGTGCGCGTGCGTGCGTGCGTGCGTGCGTGTGCTGTGCGTAGCTGCGTGGGTGCGTTCTTCTGCATGTATGTGCGTGTAGCTGTGTGCGCGTATGTGTATATACGCGCCTTCGTGCGCGCGTGTGTGGCTTTCTACGTGTTAGGGAGACATTACAACGTCTTCAACCCTAGAAAATCTATATTTGCGACTAACGTTTGGATTGTTCGTTGGATGGACGCGTTGTCGGAAATAGCACTAAAAGTCTCAAATGTCACGACTTTCGACGTGAAATTTCGTTCAAAGGGTTACGACATTTCAGACTCACGATAACGATTTTACGACAATCGTAAAAAAATGTGTGATGGTTCTGTTGACAGGTTACCGATGGAAAAGAGAACGATTTTACGACAATCATAACAATTTGCGATGTTTTTTTGATAACAGGTTACTGATGGAAGAGAGAGACAGGATGGCAAAGCTACGCACGGACAGACAGGAGGCCGAGCGACAGCTCACGGTAATGCGCATGCGCGTCTTGCAGCAGACAAGATCCTAATTGTCGTCTGCAATCTATACATAATTACATGTATAGCGATTAGCGCGTCATCGTCGTCATCATATTTTAAATTGCCTAAATTGTTAACAGCATTACCTATATCGCGAACTACACTCACAAACTGGACCTACTCAGGCAAAAACTGGTACGAATAGTTAATGTCGTATTTAATAGTGACCCAGTTTAATTACTATCTAATGACCGCTTAGTCCTCGCGAGAAACGGTCATGACATGACCATTAGCAAAAGGCACTATTTATTTTAAATATATATATATCAAGAGCGTATAAAGAAGGCCCTTCTTGATATTATAAAAGATATTAAAAGCTATTAAAATCTATATAAGATATTGATATGAATAAAAGCTATTGATATCACTACGCGAGCTGTACTATTCCGTACCTTATCACCCCCTTCCCCCGCCAGGAGGCGCTGGGTAAGCTGCAGGCTGCCGAGGTGGCCCGACAGAGAGTGGAGGAGGCAAAACGAGATCGACAGAAGCCGGTCGGGCTAGCGCGACTCATCCAGCCGTCTGCTAAACCCCTGGTTTCTCACCGCGGCGTCGGAGCGTTCTGCCCCTGGGATTTCAAGGTCGGCGGACGCGGTTCAAGGTCGAGCGAAACGAGCCGGGATAGACCGTCGTACGTAAGGACTTCAGAGGTGAGGAGACAGGAAGCGAACAAATCCGGGAAGACGGGAGAAGATGACGAGGTAGAGGGCAGCAGTAGTCTGCAAGGTCACGTGCTGACGCGAACCTACAGCCAATCACAGCACGAACCCCAGGAGAATGTCAGCCAATCAGAACAAGTCGTTAGAGAGGGCGTGGCGCACAGCAAGGATGATGCTTCCACGAAACCTGCCGAACATCGTCGTTCTGAACACCTCAGAGAACAACATGACTCTAAAGAAATCGAGGAACACCATCGTTCCGAAAAACATGGGGAGCGTGATGTGTCAGAACAACACGGCATTAGATCAGAACAACACAGCAATGAACCAGAACAACACAGCATTAGATCAGAACAACACAGCAATGAACCAGAACAAGAACAACACAGCAATAGATCAGAACAACACAGCAATAGATCAGAACAGCACAGCAATGAACCAGAACAACACAGTCGTGCATCTGAACAACACAACCAACATAACGTGTCTGAACAGTACAGTGATTTAGTTGAACAACAAAGCAAGTGTGATGTCTCTGAACAACAAAACCAACATGATGTCTCTGAACAACAGATCCAACATGATGTCTCTGAACAACAAAGTCCGCATGATCTCTCTGAACAACTCAGTCCGCATGATATCTCTGAACAACTCAGTCCGCATTATGTCTCTGAACAACTCAGTCCGCATGATCTCTCTGAACAACTCAGTCCGCATGATGTATCTGAACAACTCAGTC